CTGTGTACGGAGGTACCAGCTTGGCTACTACTGAAAAGGTATCGCGATTTTGCATGCGATGTGTTCGTGGGCAGTTCAAGCACTGGAAGGGAGCCATAACGCGGCAACAAATGCATGTCTTCAGCGTAGATTCAAAGCATGTGCTGAAAGTACTTATTCGATCTGATATCATTCATGTGGGAGATTCCAGGCTAAACAGTTATACTATTGTTGCCGAGAGACGAGCCGCACCTCAGGCCCATTGCTATTTCTCGTGTGCTCGATGGCCTGCCAGCCCCTTTGAGGAATCGCAACTTGCGACCATGAACTGTTTGAACGCCACTGAAACTGCTGAAATGAGCTCGAGAGCCACCGTGTGCAATGGGAGTTTACGGCCGTGATAAGATGCAAGATTTCTGCATTAATACTACGTTCAAATGTCTTTTCGACTTTACACTATCCCAGTGCTGAGTGAATGTGAAAATTGTTATTTTTCACAAAGCCAGGCTTTATTTCCTTCAAAGAAAGGCTGCAATTAAAGTCTTACTAAGTGTCCTGGTTTGCCAAGGAAGCACGCCACTTAATTCAAGCGTACGTTAACCTTGGTCTCCGTGCTAGTTCCAAATAGAGATTTAAGATGCACAATGCAGAATCAGGGGGGCATTAATCTATGCGGTTTTCACAGGGGATATTGACAGCAAAGGTCGAGTTAGAAAACCATGTTGCACAATTGGACTGATATGCACGAAAACTAACAATGCTTTCGTGTTTTGGAAATGACTACATTTCTCATCGAGCAAGTATTTAGCAGATTACTGGCAAATGCGAGCACACGTGCTAGAAAATTTGTTACTTAATATTGGTCCGTCTATAATGTTGACACAACATGCTTGCAATCGGAAGTTCGAGACAGACACTTTTACGCTTGTCACGCGTGGAGGGGGGGAACTTGTACTCATGGAATGTCATCTTGGCGGTGTACTGTTGCAAGTCAAAGTGAGGTGTACCTTGGAAAAATGATCACAGGGGCAATTGATGGATTAGTAGTGCAACATATATCTGTTGTTTTTGGCCCGGGTCTCAGAGTCTGACCGTGTTGTCTTTGTGGAATCGGCACCAGTGGCGCACGTCGTCACAACTGACTAGAAAATGGCTGACCCGGAAGTAAAAATGTGACGGACTATGCCATCACACGACATTTGCTCCCACATCCTCCTAGCCGACGTGCCCGTGAACCACCTGAAGGCAAGAGTAGCGAGGTTTTTTGTTGTAATATAATTTATTTTTATACGTAGCAAAATTCCTGATAACGAGAACAATGTCTGAAAAATACCGTATTATCAGCGCTGCTTTATGCAATACTGTACTTGTGTGCAAGCCTCTGCTACCGAGGCTACACATTCCATCGCAGCAAAATGACGCTGGAGAACGCACTTGCCGGCAAGTGTGCTTTGCACCTAAAGGCAATAAACTTTCTCTTGTGACAGCGCTAATGACACTCGCAGCGAAGCACTCTCTAAGTACACTTAAGTTGCCACGTGTGACAGGGTTGAACGTCTGCATATGCAGTCTGCCATTGGAAGTGGGCTGCTTCTGCAGAGGGGCTGTGGACAATTGCCAAAGCTGCCTGATAACAGTGCACAACCTTGAGCTCAGGTTGTTATACTGAAATTGTTATGCCCCTGATGTCTTATTTTCTGTTCTGTGCATCACAGCATCGTAAAGGTTATTTTTGTTGTGCATCACAGCATCGTAAAGGTTATTTTTGTTTGAGGCCTTTTGGGCCAACTAAAGGCTGATTTCACTCTACGAAAGGCTCTTTACATGTCGTCTGCTGGCACGCTGATCCACCAGCTAAATTTTAGACTGTTTATTTTTTGTATGCACCTTGTATTCGGTAAGTACGCATTTTCAGATGTTCCACGTTCAGTTCATACAACTTCTACAACAAAATGGAATATAAGTACTGCTTGATAGCAGTGAGGCTTTCGGCCGCGACATATCATAGAAGAAAAAAATACAAGCGTTGTCTGCACTGGGTGGCCCTTCTTTTATTGTGGTGCTCTGAGATGGGGCTCAAGGTGGCAGCACCATCACCGCGCTAGTGTGGACAGGCGCACGTACAAGTGTACGCAGCGGTGCTTTTTTGAGAGCAGTGTGAGCCTATTGTTGACGAATAAAATTCGCTGACTGCAGCCCACTCATAATATATAGCTGTCCGATGCAGAGATGCATGAAGCTTGCCGAACGTTACTACATATTGCTTGGGGGAGAAACGCGATTTGCCATCGAAAGGGATGTTTGCACTTGGCGACTGCCTGCGTTTTTGCACTGTCACGTTTCTTGTATTTTTATTTGGGAGTTTTGAGCTTGTATCCCACTATGCACTGCTATAGTGCAACAGAATTAATTCTTTGCTTTGTGAACGCCGGTCTTGGATACTGTAAAAAAAAATGAAAGAAATTGTATATTCTAGGACGTGAAGCTTAAATAATTGCGAATACGCATGTTTGTGCATTTTTCATAATTAATTTCTTCGTGAAATGAAGTTAATTCAACAAAGCTATGCGGCTGACAGTGCTTTATTGTGCTTGTTCTTACTCTAATGACAGCATAAAAAAGTAACAATTCACCATATAGCTTTTCAATTGATTAGCTGCATGACAGTGACACAAGAGCGTTTCATTTATTTCATGGGAGAAAAGCATTTCTTTTTTTCATGCGAAGAATGTTCACTCCTGTCAGTCTATAGCAACTCCACAAAAGTACTCAAGGTAAAGTAAAAAAGAAGAAAGAAAAATGGCATTTTGCATGAAATCTTATGACACTAGCGTGAGGCATGCCTAGAATAATTTTGACTGTTTTGATTTTTAAAGTAAACCCAAATTTAAGCATATAAATGTTTGTATAAATTTCACCCAATGTTAAAATTGAGCAGGGCAACTCAAGTTTAATCACCTCCACGTGTTCTTTCTAACAGACAGTCTAAGTATCGAGTTGTCAAAATTTTCTTGAGAAAAATTTCACTGTAGTGGGACCACGACCGTATAACAAAATGTTATTTCAAGCAGAATTAAAGCTCATCACGTAACTAATGAGTAACGTCACTGCAGTTGGACGCTTAACAATTATGCAGAACTTTGTTTGTTACAGAGTTGCTAAAACGCTGCATTCATGCAGTATTTAATGCTGCCCATGTTTGAGACAACGCCAAATGATGTGCATTTGGCGGCCTAGCTCACGCTAAGCTAACGTGCAAGCACTTAAACTTGCACCAACATTGCAGGATAAACGGCCCTTTGAGGATGATGTATGCGCACGTGCTTGCCTTACGTGTCTGGCAGATGACTGTGGGAGGAACCCACACTAGGCACGCTGCAGCCAGTGGCTACCAGGCGGTGACGCTCAATCTCAGGGAGAATATAAAACTGAGGCAGCAGTTTCATGATCAAAAAACCTATTGAGGGGCTGTGGTGATTCTCCTCGAGTTTTGAGCTTCTGGCAGCAAGGGGCCAGCCAGCTACCTTGTTCTGGTCCTGACAGAAAGCTTGTCGTAGTCTTCTGTGTTGAAATCCCAAGACATACCGAGGATTTTAATATAGAATGCGAGAAAACCAGTGTAAGTGTAAAGAAACACTGTCAGCAACTGCAACTTTGGGACGAGTGAGCCCTGGCTCTTTCTGCAAATATGAGGGAAAGTTTGCCAGAGAGAGAGAAGTGATACTCTAATCCACTAGGAATTCAATTACATTGGTTTGAAACCTCACGCGTCGTGAATAAAACTGCCACGTCGCTTCTCAACTTAGCACAGTGCAGGCGAAAATCGTGGTACATAGCTTAAAAATGCTGGAAAGGCGGTGGCAAAAGAAAGGACGCTCGCAAGAGAAAGGACGCAAGACAACGCTCTACTTTTTTATTCAGAATACACGTTGATGGAATGAAATTCAGTAATTCACCGCCCTCATAACCTAAAGCGTCACATCATTTGCTTGCACCTGTCGTTGTAGGAACTGTCTCATTTCCTGTAAACTGATAGAGCTGTGTTTTATGCACCTGAAACCTTCTTGGCTAATGTTAGAGCGCTCAGTAATTTTCCTCTAAGTTTTCGCTTCGTGCCTGTAAACCACTGTGGCCCTTTCGAATAGTGGTCTTCGTCCACTCTTCTTGCAGTTCATGCAGTGCATATCTAAGTGTGTGTATGGCCTGCCAATCAAGGAATTGTGGTGTTGCTCAAGCACCTTCTGGTCTGCCCGACATGGACCATCCCTGATGGGAGGGGCAGTCTACATGGCACAAAAGATTTCTTGGGGTTCACACTGCGTGCCTTGCGATTTCTAGATTAAACGTGCGCAATCTTCATCTCGAAATCTCAAGCTGTGCAGTGTGAACAAGAGCAAATATCCCTACCTTTCCAATCGCAAGGCATTCATATCTGGAACTATGCTTTCCTGTGTAGGCCTGTGGCTTGCTTATACCCCGTAGCTTTGGCAGTGCGAAACAGTAGCGGCGAAGATAGCTGTATTTGTGTTTTTTTTTTTTGTGCAAAGAAAAAACGTAATTGTTAATGATTATACATCGATATGCATTAAAAAAACTGTGTCATTTTTATTGTACGCTCACAACTTTAGTTCCACTTCTGTAACGCATTAAATAGCAGCTACCTTTTAGCAAAATTGCGATACTTCGCAGGTGAGAGATCTTTTAAAAAAAAGGACATGTGTAGAAAAAAATGAAAACAGAAAATGCTAATCACAATTTTAAACTAATTTTGAGCTCTAATGCAAGCTGCACATACCTTTAAAATACCTTGCGAGTTTTATAACCGTAACTTCTATTAGTACTGCTGTACAGCCGAGCATTTAAACTCACTTTCGAAGTTTCACCCCACCCTAAATTCATGGGGGGGCTCATTCAGGCACAAATAAATTTATCGCACGATGTCATATGTGCCATTTATTATAATTAGTGTACATACCATTCAAAGGAGGCACAGCTATTGAACGTGTTCTGTGTACATGCAGATCAACTTGGAGAAGTATCTGGACAGCGCTGTGTTTGCGGACGTGGAGTTTGTGGTGCAGTCCGAGAGGTACATGCTCAGCCGCACCATCCGAGCCCACAAGCAGTTCTTGGCCATGAGGAACGACGTCTTCGGCACCATGTTCTTTGGCAGTCTGCCCGAAAAAGACAAGGTGTGCATCACCGACCTGCACCCCAGCGGCTTTTACGGATTGCTCAGGTCAGTGCATGCTGTAAAGTGCTCACATGGAAAGCTTCCTTCAACAATTTGTATCCTAGTGTCCACATATGTGGAGAAAACATATCAGTGGAGTGTGATTAGGCTAGCCAATGCCTTAAAAAGTCAATTTGAAAAGTTAGTATCTGTTCACAATTTCATCAAGAACATTTGTATGTGTCTGCTTCTGTCAACACACAACAGTACAGTTCATAGTGTTAGTTTATTTGCAAGAAACAACAAGAAAAGTGCACAAAAAAGTGGGAATCTTTTCAAGTCGCTTGTAAGCTCACTGAAAATTCTTAAAAGTTTTATATATATTCAGCTTTATTCTAGAAAAAAAAGGCTTTATCTTGTGTTTGTGTGAATTTTGTTTTGCTGTGAACCACCAAAGTTTTGTAAGTTGAGTTGGTGCACCAGGTCGGTGTAGGAAGCTGATAGCACGTTAAATGGCATTAGGACTCGCTTCGCTGCCGAGCGGCTCTGCACAAAACACTATCTGTGTTACAGGTAAGTACGACATTTAGAAGTTACGCTTACAATATATTTGCTTCATTTGCTTTATTTGAGACCAGACTAAACATTGAAGATATTTAGGCCATAATTTGCTAGTCTACTAGCAAAAGTGACCCTGCACGGGCGTCTGCGTAAGTCGTACCTGCCAAGTCTCCCGGATTGGCCGGGAGACTCCCGGATTTGGACCGTTTCTTCCGTTTGTACGGTTGTCATGAAAATCTTCTGAAAATCAAAATTTTTGTGCGTGATCCGGCTGCCTTGACAAATTAAGCAGCTGAATCTGCTCCAGGCTTTTCGAACCTACCCCATTTTATTATGAATGAGTTTTAGAGGCGTTCATCTAAACGTACAGTAAAATCCATGTGAAAACGCGGCAGAGACAAATTCGTAAACTTCCTCAGCGAAATTCCACTATGTTTGTAGGGCCTAAATTCGATTGTTCCGAACACATTTCCTAATCGCGGCGGATGATACGTACTTTAGTACGGAAATCGTCGAACAAATGCTGAGAGCAGCGTACTCGAAGCTTCAGAAGTACGCGTGCGACCAGCGCACGCTCTGCCTTCTACAGTGTGCATGATTTTCGTTGCCACAACCGCTGTCGACGAAATCATGGTCGCTTTTCACGCGATCATGTATAACTGACAGAGTCCCGAAAGTGTGCGTGCGTCCAACCCTCAACTAGTCAAAGCAATGCTGCTCTCTGCAAGCCCTGCGGACAAAACCGCAACAGATGTGATCGTATAGGCATAAAACGACTTTGTTTTGGAGGCGCGTGCGCAATCAAGCGCACGGGGGTTGAAAAAGGAACTGCCATTTGCCGCGACCGCCGCGCACAACATCGTGGTCGCGGTGGCGCAATAGCGATCTACGAGCTCCGTGGGCATGCAGCGGTAGACTAAAGGCAGTAAATGCGTAAAAAAAAGTCACAGTTTCGCCGCAAGGGCGAAGCAATGAATGCGACAGCAACAACTTGGAATGTCACACTGAGATTGGCAAGCAGATCAAAACGCGCAGCGCGCTGCTCATGTACAAATGACGCACGAAAACAATACACACAAGAGGAGAGCGAACTAACAACATTTGCCGCTAGACACGTAACGCGCTGTTTAAACAAAAAAAAAGTTATGCTCGATACATAATCAAAGGTATAGATGAGTACAAACTAACAAGTGTCCTAGTTATACCTTGCTGTGCATGAAAAGCATGCTTTTTTCGCAAACGGGGCCTGTGCATAGACCGAAAATACGTTTGTTGGCCCGGCAACTAACCCCATAGTTCCAGTGAAAGCCGAAGGCACACGATTCTCCCCACCGAAAGATAAGCGCACATGTGCACAAGCATCACCCCCCCCCCCCCCATCCACGAGGCAAAGTACGCGACAGAGATAAGCGCGCGTTGGCGCATTGCGACGAGCTGGGCACCAAGTGCGGGCGGCTTTTGTTTTTGTTTTTTTTTCTTTCTAGAGTGTTAATATATATAGATAAGTATACATATACGGTGAATGATGGCAGTGGCGGCGGTGGCAAAAAACCAGCCTAGACTGTCAATAACAAAGGGGCCAGATGCGTTTTGCCATTCCTGTTCAAAAGAATCTAGTAGCAAGCAAAGCTTTGACCCGCGCTTTTGTGGCAGCCAGCTGTACCGTCTCGTCCGTTCGCGTGTGCCCAAGTAAGACATACATGAGCTGTTTTGAAGGAAGTAAATTCATAAGTTGTGTTGGTGCTTTGAGATTCTGGCCTTAGTAGGAAACCCTACCTTCGTGTGTTCGGCCACTCCAAGCCGACCACAACGCCGATGTTTGCGCTTGCGATTGAAACTCCTCACCCCCTCTTGTTTTTCGCGATGTTTTTTGTTTGCTTGTTTCTCCCTGGGAGTTCCTGAATTCAGAATCCTTGAACTTGGCAGGTATGGTAAGTAGACGTTTGGTGCGTTGCGACACCACGGACCCGAGCTAACGGGGGAGTTCCGACTCCCTCCCACGCCTAGCCGTGTGTGGTTTTGCCGTGTCCGGGGGAAAAGGGGATCCTGGGGAAAAGGGGAGCGAGGGTTAACCCTGTGTAGTTACCCAAGCTTGGGTAGTTATATTCGGTTATAGTGATGCTGCATGGCTGGCATCTCCAAGTGTTCACTATTCAACCTTGTAGCGTCCCCTTGTTGGGCTCGGTGGTGGGTGCGCACCATTGCCGCGGAACTGTACACAATCTGTATGGCCAACTTTTTCCCCCTCTCCCTGATCGCCGCCCGAAAAGGTCGCGCACCGAAAAACAATTTATTTTTTCAAAACCAAAGTTTTGAAAAAAGAAAAAAAGTCGCATCATCCGGTGGTGTTGCCATTGTTGTAGATCCAGGAACTGCCCGTAAACATTTACCACTTTAGAAGTCTCTTGAGGCAGTAGCTGTCCGAGCCGTTATCTTGAATAAACTGGTCACAATTTGCTCTATTTATATACCTCCTCAGCACCAACTTAGTAAACAAGAATTCCAGGCTTTAATTGATGAACTTCCAGAACCGTATCTTCTCCTTGGAGATTTTAATGCACATAGCAGTCTGTGGGGTGACTCGCACTGCGATGCACGAGGTCGTCTGATTGAACAGTTTCTTTTCTCCTCTGGCGCATGTCTCCTCAATAGTGTCACGAGGTTGTGATACACGCAGCACTTGAGAGGAAGCACGCAGGAGTCAGAGCGGTGTCAGGCGAACTGTTTATTGGGCGAACTTGTGCCCAGCAAAACGGGGCCAAACACAACTCATAGCAACAGCGGCGTGAACAGTCGTCGGCCGACGGAAAAAAAAGAAAAGACCCCCAGTGGCGCACTGCGCCGGCTTTTTATACACGCGTCGTAACGCGTTCCAGAGTGGCATACAAGATAAACGCGGCCTGCGTTGCGCTTAACAGAAAGTGATAGCGTCTTCCTTCGTAAACCAAAAGAACCGCACGTGTCAGTCTTTTTATACACGCGTCGTAACGCGTTCCAGAGTGGCATACAAGATAAACGCGGCCTGCGTTGCGCTTAACAGAAAGTGATAGCGTCTTCCTTCGTAAACCAAAAGAACCGCACGTGTCACTACCCCCCTCTGAAAAAGCATCGTCCCGATGCTAAAGACAGAACATAAGAGAGAGTACATGCAATAAATTACATTAACAATGCGTCACAGCTAATCAGCGCGCGTAATAAGGTTTAAGTCGCACCACGTGTACGACTTCGGGTCGTGCACGGCGTCGTTGGGATGACGTTAAGCCATCGGGCACGACCTCATAGTCCAGTTCACCACGACGTCGGACTACCTTGTAGGGTCCAAAGTAGCGTCGCAGGAGCTTCTCAGACAATCCCCGTCGTCGTATTGGCGTCCAGACCCAGACAAGGTCGCCGGGTTGGTATTCGGTGTGGTGTCGTCGAAGGTTGTAGTGGCGCCTGTCGACCGTCTGTTGGCTCTTGATACGCAGGCGGGCTAGCTGTCGAGCTTCTTCAGCGCGATCCAGGTAGCTGGCGATATCGAGGTCTTCTTCGTCGGTGCCGACCGGTAGCATGGCGTCAAGCGTCGTTGTTGGGCTCCGTCCGTAGACGAGCTTGTATGGAGCAAACTGCGTCGTTTCCTGCACGGCCGTGTTGTACGCGAAGGTTACATACGGGAGTATGGCGTCCCACGTCTTGTGCTCGACGTCCACGTACATGGCCAGCATGTCGGCGATGGTCTTATTTAGACGCTCGGTGAGGCCATTCGTCTGTGGGTGATACGCGGTGGTTCGGCGGTGGCTTGTCTGACTGTACCTCAAGATCGCTTGCGTTAGGTCAGCCGTAAAGGCCGTACCTCTGTCGGTGATGAGGACCTCGGGGGCTCCATGGCGGAGGACGATGTTCTCAATGAAGAACTTGGCGACCTCGGCGGCAGTGCCCTTGGGCAAGGCCCTTGTTTCGACATAGCGGGTGAGGTAGTCAGTCGCTACGACAATCCATTTGTTGCCAGAAGTTGACGTCGGGAACGGCCCCAGTAAGTCCATGCCGATTTGTTGGAATGGCCGTTGAGGTGGTTCGACGGGTTGCAGAAGTCCGGCTGGCCTAGTTGTCGGCGTCTTGCGTCGCTGACAGTCTCTGCATGTTTTTACATAGTGGGCGACGTCGGCAGTGAGGCGAGGCCAATAGTACTTCTCTTGTATTCGTGACAGTGTGCGGGAAACACCAAGATGTCCGGCTGTCGGGTCGTCGTGTAATGCTTCCAAAACCTCTGGACGTAACGCTGAAGGTACCACGAGGAGGTGGTCGGCGCGGAGCGGCGAGAAGTTCTTCTTCAGGAGGACGTTGTTTCGCAGGAAAAACGAAGCCAGTCCTCGGCGGAATACTTTCGGCACGTCGGCGGTCTTGCCTTGCAGGTAGTCCATGAGGATCTTGAGCTCTGGGTCAGCTCGTTGGCGTTCCGCGAAGTCGTCGGTACTTATGGGTCCCAGGAAAGAGTCGTCGTCCTGGTCATCCTGGGGCGGCGGATC